GGGGGCCTCCCCCCCCCAAGGCCCCTGCCACTTCAGACCGGGGATCTAGTCAGTTCATTCTCCTGTCTCCAGCAGTGGCCCAGCACCGCCGTGTCGGGGAAAGGGGTGCTCATTTAAGCAGGAAGTGGTGCTAGAATAACCTTCCTGTGGTGGAAATTTCTTTGCACTCCTTGGCACTTACCCATTGTCTGATGCCCTGCACCAAGGAAGTTTAATAACTCTGCTTTTGTTTGTAGCTAGTGGATCCCTCAGCTATTATGCTGGTTTGCCTGATCCCTTTGTTTTATGTCTCTTGAAATGCTTGGGCCTCTGGTGTCTTGTGTCCAGGAGTTCCACAGGCTAGCTGCATGTGAAAAGTGTTTCTCTTTACCAGCCAGAGTCACGCTGTTTGTGTGGGCCCTTCTCCACAGTGACGTGGGATGCTGAGACGAAGCTCAGGTTTACGCTGGCTCTTCAAGAGGAGGTGGGGCGGTCGTTTGGAGAGGTCCAATCTGCCTTGCTGGTATTTTATCTGGGAAGCAGGGAAAGCAAAGCAAGAGAGACGCTCCTGGCCGCAGGAGATGGGCTGCTCCAGAAGCAGGTAAGCAGTTGGCAAAGGCTGGCTTTCTGTCTCTGTTCGTGGCTGCTACCTGCAGAGCCGAGCATGCCCCTGCCCCGTGGCTCCCCGCCCCCCAGCATCCTTGTCCCAGCTCTCTAACAGGGCTCAGTCTCTCTGTCCCAGTCAATCCTTGGCCGGGCTGCTGCTAGCAAGGAGGCCAAGCAGCACCGGCCATGGTGGGGTGTTTTTGCAGCATAGGTCCCCAGCTAGCTGGGCGCCAAATCTAACCACGATTCTATACCAGGGCTCTGGCCTCTGGTGCCAAATGTAGCTGTGTAGACATGCAGGCTCTGAAGGGGGTGTGTGCGTGTGCATGCGTCCCTGAGCCGCAACATCTACGCAGCTGTCTTCAGTGTGCGAGCAGGAGCCCCGCGTGCCGGAGGCTGTAGAACTGGGTTCAGACTCGGGCTGCCGCTTGCAGGGCGGGTGTACCCGAGAGTGACTTTCCCCTCATCCGGCCCGTCTCCGGCGGGAAGAGCCCGAGGGCCAGATTCTGCCCTCGGTGACAACCGGCTTGGACAGGAGATGCCCAAGCCTACGTCTGGCTGGGCGAGGGGAATGTAGTGAATGGTGCCCGGGAAGGGCTGGACTCCAGTGCCCCCTCCTGGAACAGGGCGGCCTTGCAGCGCTAATGGGAACAGGCTCTGGGCTCTCTCTCACCCAGGGAGCAGAGGCATTTTAACTGTTGCTTTTCAGAGCGGAAGTGCCCCTGGAGGGCTGGATTTCCAAGCTTTCAGCTGTCCCTGGCCAGATTGTTCAAGTCCTTTCCATGGAGCAGTTCTGCAGCAGCAGGGTGGAATGGGACAGCTCTTCCCCCCTCCCCCCAACACACCTTTGTATGTCTGTCCCCAGGAGACGCTTTATGTCCCTGGCCCAACCGAGGCTGCCACAGCTAACCCCACTGCAGCAGAGTGAGCCTGGGGCTAGGTTGCAGCCCCGACGTGTGCACCGAGCGGGTTTGAGGCCGCCCCCTTGCGTGGGAATAAATGCAGCAATGCCGATGACGTTGCTCCTGTGCTCAGACAAAGCTGCCTCTGGCGAGGGCCTTTCGCCCTGCCTTGGGGAAGGCGTTAACCCTCCGGCCTTCCCCCGTTGGTGGGAGCGTGGTCTCTTGGGGCGTACCGGAGCACTGCTCAGGCTCCTCCTGCACGAGCTGCCCGTGGCTGGAGGGCAGGGGCTGCTCCTCCGTCAGCTGCACGGGGGGGATCCTTGTGATGTTCCTCGTCCCTTACAGCCGAGCTAGGAGGGCTGAGGGGTGGAGAGCGGCCCCTGGGTCGGCAGGGCCTGGAACCGGTCTGCTAGCTGCTCGACGGCTGGGGTGCAGTGAGCATGCTGAAGATATGGAGCCCCCCGGGCGGTGGGGGCGAGGGAGGGCCAAATTCCCCCGATCCCCTCCTGCTCCATAACAATCCCCGTCTGTATTCAGGAATCTCCGAGGGGTCGCCGGGTTAGTATGTAACTTTAAAAACGAGTGGTCCTGCGGCACCTTAGAGGCAAACCAAAATACATCCAGTCATGCGCGTTCGTGGCAAAGCCCACTTGCTCAGATGAATTGGAGCGGAAATAACAGAAACCAAGCGACGTATCGAACCGCAGGAGAAACGCGTCAATTGTAGGACCATGTTAACAAGGCTAATGAAGTGGGCTGGACGTGTCCCATTCGTAGCTTTTGAAGTGAAAATGTGGATGAGAAAGGCAGGAGAAGTTGGCTTTGCAGTGGGCAGGCCAGTTAATGTCTTTATTCAAGCCCAGGGTGACAGTGTGAAACTTGGAGATGAATTCCATGTAAAGATTCATGCTCAGCTGCTTGGGCTCTGCAGGCCGGTCCCCATGGCACAGTCTGGGCCTGCCAGTCTCCTGTCTTGCTATCCGGGGAGAGCCAGGCGGGGAGGGGTTTGCATGCAAAGGGTCATTCCCATCTGCTCACCGGGCTTCTGCTGTGTCTGCAGGCTCTCTGCCTCTCCAGGGCCACCCGGTACCTGCTGCTCCGGGCCTTGGTGACGCCTGCCACACGCACACCCAGGCAGCTCAGCTTCCACGTTTCCTTGGCAATCAGGCGTCATGGCGATGGAGGTACAGCTGTTTAAGGGGGCGGCCGAGAGGTCTCTGGTGGCAGCTTTTCCTAGAGGGGCCAGGGGGCCCGAAGCTCTTTGGGGTCTCAAGCATCAGTGGGGGAGGGCTGAGTTAGCGCCCCATGTGCAACCACAGTGGGGTTACTGGCGCAGGCAGGAGAAGGCTAGCGCAGGGGGTTGGCAGCAGTTCTGTCCAGGCCTTGGGGGACCTGTGGGAAGCCCCATTATTTTCATCCCTATCTGTCACTGTGGGCTCCACTCCAGGGGCCGGGAAGGTATCCGGGGAGGGCTCCAAGCCCTGAGTGGGAAGGGGTATCTTGCTGCTACTGAGTATTGTGTCCAGTTCTGGGCCCCCCACTACCAAGAGGATGTGGACGCATTGGTGAGGGTCCAGTGGAGGCAACACAAACGATGAGGAGGCTGGAGCACATGACCTACGAGGGGAGGCTGAGGGATTTGGGCTTGTTCAGTCTGCAGAAGAGCAGAGTGAGGGGGGATTTGAGGAAGAGGGTTCCAAAGAGGATGGCGAGGGGCTGTTCTCAGTGGGGGCAGAACGAGGAGCAATGGACTCGTGTTACAGTGGGGAGGTCCAGGTTGGACATTAGGAAAATCGAGTTCCCTAGGAGGGTGGGGAAGCGCTGGGCTGGGCTCCCTAGGGAGGGGGTGGACTCTCCATCCCTAGAGGTTTCTAAGTCTCAACTTGACCAAGCCCTGGCTTGGTTGATTGTTGGGATTGGTCCTGCCTTGGGCAGGGGGCTGGACTTGATGACTCCTGAGGTCTCGTCCAGCTCTCTGATTCTATGATCCCCCTTCTCCATCCTCTCCGCTCCCCGCCAGGCCCCCTCCTGCCGACCTCGGAGGTCCAGCGGCTCCTCTTTGGCGCCGACGAGAAGTGTTTCACCAGGATGACTCCAGCCTTGCTCTTGCTGGCGAAGCCGCGATCCTTGGGCAGGGGGCTGGACTTGATGACTCCTGAGGTCTCGTCCAGCTCTCTGATTCTATGATCCCCCTTCTCCATCCTCTCCGCTCCCCGCCAGGCCCCCTCCTGCCGACCTCGGAGGTCCAGCGGCTCCTCTTTGGCGCCGACGAGAAGTGTTTCACCAGGATGACTCCAGCCTTGCTCTTGCTGGCGAAGCCGCGATGCGAAGGCACCACAGGGCCCCCCTCATCCTTTCTCCCGGCCCGGGGGGTGTTGGAGACGGCCCCTTTCCCGCAGCCCAGGTGCGTAGGGGAACGGAGGGAGGGGAAGCGCCTGCCACGCCACGGGGGGGGAGGCCC